TTGAATTGTATCTGATTTCAGTCAACTGGGTAAAACATCATTAAAGTCATGCTATCTGTAATTTCACAACTTTTAACAATCATCTGTTCCATTTTTTTCGATTTCAGCAGTTTTGAATCTTTAAACATGACACCTTCATCAACCACTAAAAAGTGTGATGCATCTTCCTCGTGTTTACATTCTTTAAAATTGCAAGTACCCAATCCAAATTCTTCATCAAAGTAATGTGTAACAATCTTCTCAATTATCATTGGTGGAACACATTGACCCTCTTCTTCATCCAATGATTGTAAAATTGGGTCATTTCTCTTGTATCTTCCCAGGGAATCATCTGGAGGCATTCTAAGCAAAGACTGTGAAATGTCTAAACAGTTATTAGGGTATATTACCCAAGTTACATCACTATCGTATTCAACTTCTTCCCAATCACTGTTTTTCCAGTATCTAATGTCATCTCTTTTACGAATTGAAGTTTTCAACCAAATCAAATCACTTTCTCCAATAAAATGCTCACGATTTGTCAAGTTGAGCAGTTGAGTGTGACCTCTGTTGTTCATCACCAAGTATTGGGGTGTGAAATTTTGTGGAATTGGTTCTCTCATGTCAGCGTGAAATTCAAAGTGTGGACCAAGTGGCTTGCTACTCATTTGTTCTGAATCATTTTCTAGCAAAATCAAGGAAAATGGTTCGAAACTAATTGGGCATGATAGGGTGTCACTCATACAATCCTCACAACAGTATGTGCTTGGGTCTAGTTCAGGAAACAATTCACAATAACAATGAATGCAAAAATATCTGTCAACATGTTGATTTGATTGGATAAAGTAAACTTGTTCAAAGTGTGAGTTTTCTTTCAAGTTTCTTGTCGAGTTGTGTTTTGGCATTTTTTTTTCTTGTTGTTTATTCGAATTGTTTAGTTGGCACTCGAATTTATTCATTTTTTCCAATAGATAAAAATAGTTTTTGGGATGAAAAACAAACTTTCATGTTTTAGAGCCATCAATGATCCAATTTTGGATAATATCAAATCCAATATTTACATTTTCAATTCTTAATTAACCAAAAAAAACAACTTTTAGTAAAATTACTTTATTCATTAACAAATGATACATTTCTTCTCATTACCTTCCTTCTTTGCCTTCTTATCTGACAATTTTGTTGTGCTTGTTACTGTTGCTGCTTTAGGTTTATTATCCAAATTCTTCTTAATTTCCAAAACCATTCTTATGAAAGCTTCCTCAACATTGGCCGAAGATTTTGCACTCGTCTCAATGAATGGCATATCATACCGGTTTGCTAATTGTTCACCCTCTGAACGTTCAATTACTCTCTCAGCGGTTAGATCTGATTTACAACCAACCAAAAATTTTGTAATATCTACAGGAGCTGCCTTGTCAACTTCATTAATCCATTGACTGACATTATCGAAGGAGGATTGGTCAGTGATTGAGTAGGCGATAAATACACCGTGTGCATCTTTGAAATAACCTGGATGCTGTTCGATAATTAGGTAAATAAACTTATAAGGTGGTTGGTTGGTTGACTTACACTATTTCACAATTGTGAGCTATTTCACACCAAGAGTTGTAAAACACTTACATTTTCAATGCTTGACTAGGACTAATATCAAATATTAAGTAAATCATATGATAATGTCTTACTTACGCATTCCATATTTGTAATTTCAATGTTTTTCCATCCATTTCAATGGTACGAATTTTAAAGTCAACTCCGAGAGCGGAGTAATAAGTATCTGAGAAGGTATTGTCCTGAGAAAGGGGTAAGTTTGTGTGAAATATGTGGTTTACATACAGAATAACGAAGGAGAAGTGATTTTGTTCCAACTTTACGATCACCTAATATCATGTTTAGTTTAGTTTAGTTTCCCTACTTACCAAGGAAGAGTATTTTTACAAAATAATCACTACAAAGTTCAAATTACTACATGTCTGCAACAAATAACTTACTATGATGGATCCATTTTTTTTAAATTTGTGAAAAATGAAACCTTTCAATAAAGGATTTATTCAAAAAGAGCGACCTCACTACTTGTAAGTACGAGAACATGATCTACTTCCAAACGAACTTTGACTAACTATGTTTCTACTTTAGCTTCTATTATTGTT